ACATGACTTTTAAAATGACCCAGAATTGATGCAACACAAAACATTTCCCGACTAGCATTTGTCATGGAATGTCATTTCACTTCGCTGTCAACTCTCCCAGTGGCAAAAATGTGCATGTGTAGAAGGTTACTGTAAATAGTATAAATAGTTATCAAAACAGGTATAATAAAAATAAAGAATGCATTAAAAACATGATTTAGGAAAAACAAGCATTGGTAATAACAAAATAATCATTTTTACATGCATGTAGTAATACATGAACTACTTAACAGATTGCGCTAATGAGTTACAAAGTCTTATTTGTTTTGATCCTCAAAAGGTAAACATGCTGGGGACTTAGAAAAAGATGGGCGATCTTCTCTGTTCTCTTTCATAATTTTTTTTTTTTTTTCTGTAATTCTGATTGTCATACATGGAAAATTTTCTAATCTTATCCACTTATTTATTTATTGGCTGTGCCTAAGTTAATGGTATTGTAATGCAATGTCTGTTGACTATTTTTCCAGAAATTCTGTTCACTCATGCGCAGTATGGAATTCACGTAGTCTGCTGAATTGTCTAATGCAGGGGGGGCCCCCTCCGGGGAGGATACAGCCACCCAACCCCCACCTGTGTATTCACAGCAGGAGAGAGAATCTGACAACTCAGTATTGGGTGCTCCCACGTCAGAGAATTCCACACAGCACACAAGCAACTGGAACTCCAATGAAACTAGTCAATAGACATCACATTACATTACCATAAATAGTCACTTCTTTATTTATTTTACTAATATTCTTCCTAAAGCAAAAATACCAGAATAATCCTTGTCATAATTATAATCTACAACTAATGCACAAGGATAGAATCACTCCAGAACAGTAAGCCGATTATATTATTGCTGATCTGCACAACTATTCTTCTTTCTTCTTTTATAGAGTCTTAGACTATGTGGATTTGTTATTATTATTAATTTGTACAAGTGTTTTTGAAGTCTTGTGTGTTTTGTCATTATTCTTGTAATGCTCACATCTATTTTTCTATTTTGTGATTTTGCCCATGGTTGTGGATTATCTTTAATGTAATAATCTTTTGTGTTTAATATTTCATTTAAATTAGTTATCCTTTTTTTTTTTTAATTATTATATTTGTTGAATTTTGGATTATGGTTATGGGATCTTTTCTTTCATGTGTTTTTTTTCTGCAGCTCTATCTATTTCATTTCCTATTATGTTCTTATGTGATGGGATTCACTGTAGTTTTGTTGTTTTTTAGTGTTTAATAAGTGTAGCTGGGGTTGTATTTCATATATTGTTTTTTGTATTTTACTGGTTTGTATTTTTTACTGGTTTGCATAGATGTTTGTGAGTCTCTAAAGATTACTGATTTTTGTAGTTTATTGTTGTGTAAGTAGTTTAGAGCTTGTTTACTTACAAATAGATCTGTTTCTATTATCTGTGTATTGTTTTGTAATTTCCAGATTGTTGTAATTTTTTTTTAATGTATATTGCTGCTGTTGTTGGTTTTGGTTCTTTTATAGTTTTATCCATTTGTGTAAATTTTGTGGTAATTTTGGTTGTGTTTTCTAGTAGGCAGAAGTGTTGCTTTGTCATTAGATTTGATTCTAGGTTTTGTAGGATGTCAGACCACGGAGGAATTGGGGACATGTTAGGTATTGTGTTAATTCTTAAATTTATTTTCCATTTTTTGCTAGTTTCAATTACTCTAAATACTAGTGTCATTTTATCTTTGAGCTAAAAATGTTGATGTTTTTAAGGTTAAATGTTTAATTGGCATGTTATGATGTTTTTTTTTATTAACTGGATGCATAAATATTATTTATTCTGTTTGCTATTGGTATCTGATTCTAAATGCATTATTTTGGATGGTTTCAATTTTTTTCTATTGTTTGATTTGCTGCACTATGTGTGGTGATTCCATATTATATTATTGATTTTATATTTATATTAAAGAATTTCACTAATGTTTCTCTATAGCTCTCCAAGTTAATAAAGTCATTTATTTTCATAATATTTATTCTATTCACTGATTTTGTTTTTCCAAGCGAATTTTGGTTTAGTCATAAAATGATATTTGTGAATTCTACTTCCATGATTTCCTTTTCTTATTACTGGATATTGTTCTATTTTTTGTTTGTGAAACACATTACTTTACTTTTTATTAGGTTTAATTTAAGGTTTCATTTCCCTGACCATTCCTTTATTATTTAAGGGTATGTTCTACACTATTTTTTGCTTCTACTAAATTTATACTTAAGTTATTAGGGTTAATGATTAATGGTTAAAAGCAAAAATAAATGTGCTAGACATCTCAGGTCATGTAGCACTATAGTAAATGTTAGTAAAAGGTGGTTAAGTTAGTAATTAGTAAGTTATTAGGGTTAAGTCATCTGCTTAAATTATTTTCTTTATTTCTTTTGGCATTTTTATGTCTGCTATGACTATACTGAAAAGTGTAGGGCTTGTTGGGGGATCCCTGTGGAACTCCATATATTATCAAAAGCTTTTCCTATCGAAACATACTACTATTGTGTATTTTATTCCTTTTATTGCTTGTCTTATTTTCATTTCCATAGTGTCTATTGTATTCTGTTTGGTCTAACTCCAATAATGTCTTCCTTTAGGTTATTTTTTTCTAGCCACCAGTTCAGCCTTCTTGTTACTATATTTTCAAAGATTCTCCCAATACAAGGCTTTCTACTTATGAATCTATATGAATTTGTTTTTGCTAGATCTTTCCCTGGTTTATAAATTGGGATGAGTATTGCTTTTTTTTCATATTTGGATATTCTCCTTTTTCCCAATATCTATTAGAGTTTTTAAACATTACTTCTATTATGTTCTTAGGCGATTTTTTTTATAAAATTCATATGTAATTTCATCAGGGCCATATGCTTTGCCATTTTTTGGTGTTTTTTTTATATCATATGTTAATTCTTTTAAAGTAATATCTTTATTACATGTTACTGGTGATCATTCTGGATTTGAATGTTTTTTGTTTGTATGTGTTGTTTTGCAGTTCTTTCATTTCTTTTTTGTTTGTCTGTGTATTTGTCTCTGGTGTAAATTTTAAGTTCACTATGTTTTGGGTTCTCTGTCTTGGGGGTGTTTTCTGCCCTGCTGTGATGTTTTGTATTTGTGAGATAGCTTGTGCATATGTGGTGTATTCTGGTATTAGCTTCTATTTCCAAGGTTTATGTTAGCCTGTGAGGTGTGGCTTTCTTTGGTTCTAGTGTTCTCTTTTGGCTTTGTGTGTGCATCTTTTTTTGTATCATCTTTAGCTTATCCTGTAAAAGGTTTTAGTTATTTTTTGATATCAGGATTGTTTGGTGTAAAATTATATTTATTTATTTATAGTGCTTTATTATGTATTTTGTGTGAGTTACTGTTTGGTGTATGATCTCCTTCACAAAAGAATCATGAGGATAAGTCCAATATGCTAAGCTGAGCCTTGCCCGGGCTATGCCCATGAGGGGAGCCCAGCCTGTGTTGACTAATGCTGACTCGAATGAGCTTAGTCCTTACCCGCCGTGGTGCCCAGCCACAGCAGTAACCTCCAGGTGACAATTGCAACTTCTCGCACCTGGGCAGGCGCAAGCCGCCGACCCCTCAGATGAGAGGCTGACACCTTACCTCTGTACTAGTCCGGAGGCTCAAAAGAAACTACAGTCTTTGAAATTATGGTCAACACTACTGCATCTACTACATCTTTTTATTGTTTTTGCAAGTAATCCCATGTCCATATCAGAGGCAACTGTAGTATTTGAGTATTGGGAAGGTATACCGTTTGACTTGATATGAGATATGGCCAATAGCCACCCTTTCTGGCAGTGGTCCTTTGGATGTGATTCTTAGAGATCTTTTTGGAATCCATTTTTCTGTTTTTCTTTTTTTGTTTTTTTTATTACTTTTATTTATTCTTATTACTTCTTGAATGTTAGAATTCTGACCTAATGTTCTTATTTTTTTAATTGTCCTTATATCTGAGTCTGTTTCAACTAGGCATATAGTTCTGTATGTACAATCTGTGTTTAAACTTGATGCTGGTTGTTTGGAATTAATTTTCCATTGTACAAGTTTTCTAATTCCCATTTTATTTTCCTAATATCATCAATTTTAAACGACAATATGAAGTATAAAGTAGTGGCAGAGTTGGGTAATAAAACCTATATGAAATGATAGAACAATACAAAACAAAACAAAGTTCTACTATGGCAATGTGTGTGTGCAAATGCTTCCCAAGGTTCTATACGTAAAAGAAAAGAGAAGATCCCCCAATTTTGGCTTAGTCGTTCATCTTGTTTACATTGTGAGGGTGAATTCTAGACACATATACTACCACAGGTGTCCAGGGGGCAGAGCCCCCTGTCTAGGGAATGTATACCACGGTGTTAGATTAGGTTGGATGTTGGGTTAGGACGTTTTGTTTAACAACCACAGGGGTCGTGTTTCACCCCATAATTTCCCTGGTATACTTCATGCCGTCCCCTGCTCCTGGGACTATCCAATCAAGATTGTCAATAGAGATGGTGATCATATCTCCTCAAATAATTCATTTGCACAAGGAACAATGCCTAGAATTGTTGAAAGCAGTGGATTTCATGCAGAAAAATATCAAAATTTTTTTGAAAGTAACCCACTACCCTCTTCTACATACTGACCTTACATTCTGGCATGATCTTACTTGAATGCTGGGTTCAATGATGTTATTCATTACCGGCTGGAATGGCGTGAAGTTCTCTCCCGCTTCTTGGTTCCGGTGTTGCTTGGAAGGTGAACTTGCTTCGCTATCGCTTCCCCTGTTTTTTGAGTTTTCTGTTACTTAAGGTTTCACTGTCAATTTATTTATATGTACCAGGAGTTTATCGTCCACGTGTTAACTGTACACTTCCCTTCAGTTTACGAATACCGGGATAGATATTTTCTCGAATACCGGGATAGATATTTTCTCTATAACAGGTTTAAACCAAGTCATCTGCACGATTCTTCCCGTTACTTCTTCAAGTCATCTGCACGATTCTTCCCGTTACTTCTTCTTTTATAGCGTTTTAGACTATTGTATAGCCTATATCTCCGGGATCTACTTCATCCCATAACAGTGTTTACTTTTCCCTTGCTCTCCTCTGCGTTCGCGTAGACCGGATTCAGATGCGGATTCATAATTCTAAATATTTAGATTCATAAAAAAAAAAAAAAAAAAATACAGGATCAAAATAAATGGGTAATTAAAGAAGTAAATAGATAAATAAAACCACAAACTTTAAATTTAAAAGGGCTCCAAATGAAGATGCAGTCAACAAGAAACAACTGGATATTTCGCATTCCATTGCCCAAAATTTACCGCCGATAGAACCAAATGATTAAGGGTATCGAAGAAAAAATAATCCAAATATTTCTCTACTTATGACACGGGAAAATCATCCTCCGGCCATGAAATACTAAGAGACATGAAGATCTTACAAAGATCAGTTACGATAAACGTCATATGATATATCATCATCATCACTGGGGAGCCAACACCCTTCGCTTCCACATTCGAGGGTCCCTCATGGCGAGCCGTCAGGTTTGATCGATCTGCCCAAGCCACGACTTCCTAGGTCGTGCCACAGGTCTTCTCCTCCCAGGGTTGTCTCGAACTGAGATAACCTGGTGCGCAGGGTCATTCTGCGAGAATCGAGCCAAGTGGCCTGAGCTGGCGATCGCGGATTGTGTAGATAACAAGTCCTGTACCGGTCTCACGGAGCAACCGTTGGTTGGACAAATGGTCCCACCAACTGTACCCCATGATCCAACACAAGGATCTGTTACAAAAGGCATCAGGACGCGATTCCAAAACAAGATAGCATCCAGGTTTCACTATCATATAGTAAAACTGGCAGTATCAGGACCTTGAAGACACGTAGCTTGGTCCTTCTGCACAGGTACCGGCATCTCCAAATACTCTTGTCGAAAGATTTCATGATCCCTGCTGCCAGGCCAATCTGTCTACTGACTTCCTGGTCTGACAGCCCGGAGTCATGAGCTCTCTGTGACCTTGATGTTTTCACCACAAGCTCGTGCCGACTGCACAGGGTCCTAGTAGGCCTCCAAAATCCTGTATCTTGGTTTTGGTCCTGGAGACCTCTAGCCCCAGGGGCTTCGCTTCATTGCTAAATGCATCAAGAGCCGCCACTAGGGTATCCAGAGATTCAGAAAGAATAGCATCATCGTCAGCAAAGTCAAGGTGTGTAACCTTTATATTGACCAGAGTTGCTTCACAGTGACTTTGGACAGTATCCAGTCCATGCAGGTGTTGAAAAGTGTTGGTGCAATAACACAGCCATGCCTCACACCTGAACTAACAGGGAAGAAGCTCGACAGGCCCCCACCACACTTTACAGCACTCTCAGTGCCTGTATACAGGTTTGCTGTTAATCTAATAATCCTTGTTGGAATTCCTCTTAGTCTCAGGATCTCCCAGAGTGATTCACAATGCACGGTATCAAATGCCTTTTTGAGGTCGATGTAAGCTGCGAGTAGGCCACATCCGAACTCACGACGGCATTCTCCATTGACTCAAAGCGCCAGGATATAGTCTATTGTGGACTTACCAGGAGTGAATCCAGATTGGATCTGGTGACTCAGCAGGTGGTCTCTGATACATCTCAGTAGGATGTGTGCAAGTACCTTGCCTGGTATAGTGAGTAGTGTAATGCCTCGGTGATTGCTGCAGTCCCACCTATCCTTGACGATCCTCGATAATGGGTAGGTCTGGCAGAGGAATCTCAACATTACCTGCTTCTAAGTTAACTGTTGGTGGATCAACTTTATACAACTGCTCAAAATACTCAGCCCAACGTGTCCATACCTCATCAGGATCTGAGATTACCTGAGATTCCTGATAAACTGTTCCTTGTCCCCTCTCAACAGTGACCTGGTCTTACACACCATAGAATGGTGCAAATTGCGATCCACCGACAGTCGAGCCACATGACAAGCATCTGTGGCTTCCAATGTCTACTGCGAGATGGAATTCTGTCATACTCTTGAGCGTTCACCAATCATTTCTTGGGCTGCATCAAGTGTATTACGCTTGAAGGTGTCTCACTGAAGAACAGGGTCTCAGATACAAGTTTGGTGTAAAAAATCTCTTTCAGCTTAAGTTTATATACATCCGTAGAAGCGTACACAGCAATAAGAGACATGAACCCAAATGAAAGCTTTAGTCTCAATACCATAACATGCTTTTGGACTGGAGTGACCTCTACTACCGAGAGTTGAAGTCTGCTGGAGATGCCTATGGCTACTCCTCGGAGATGATTGCCATCGCTGCGGCTCGACTAGTAATAATTGTAGCCACCCACACTAATCGTGCCGTGGCCAGGTCTTCTTACCACCGAGAGAGCAGCCACCCAAACTCTCAGCTGCTTCAATTCCCTCGACAGTAGTGGTAACCGATCATCCTGTCGCAAGGAACAGACGTTCCAAGCTCCCACAGCCCGCCTACGGTCTAACCTCGGGC